GAGGGATGACTGAGATGGGGTTGACTATGAGGCCAGTTGTTGAAGGCTTAGAGCACTAATTTACAGTAGCTGAGCCCCACCTAAGGGTGTAGCCAGTCATTACAGCTGTGCAGTAAATGTGCTTCAGAGAGAGGAGGCAAGTGCAAGAGAAATCAGCAGAGACCAGATGCTGCTGCCATCAGGATGAATCCAAGCCAAGAAGACAACCCAAAGGCTGGGCAGGACATATCCTAGGTCAGAAGGTCTAGTCAGAGAGGATTCGGACTCTGAGGATGAGACTGAAAGTCACAGGCCAGGAGAGACGGAGGTGCTCACCGGATTTAGTCATGACTTTAGAAGAATGTTACCAAGTTTAGAGGACAGATTTTTAGCCCAGTCAGGGTTAACAGGAACAGGATCATTTTACATGATAGGTGGTGACCGAAAAGCAATGCCTCCGAAATTAAATGATGCTTTGGAGGATCAAGTCTGTGTAGTGTTCAGCTGGTGAGTTTTGGAGAACGTTGGTACTGATCCTGATCTCTGCTTTGCCATTTACTACAGGGGAAATTACATTACTTCTCTAAGCTTCAGTTTCAAGGGTAATAAGAATTCCTACTTTTTGAAAATTAAACCACCCAATTTAATTAAAAGGACTAAGGCAATGTCAGGCACCTAGTAAGTGCTCAATTAATGTCAGTTATTATTGTTTGAACTCCACTTACATATATTCATTTATACATCTTGTTTGAAAATGCCATAGTTATAAGTATAAATGACAAAATTGAATGTAATTATGTTAAGTAAGGTTCCTAAACCTTGTATAAAAATTGTCTTGCCATATAGCTTTACTCTTTGTAATGTCTTTTCTTTAGGAAGTGATTTTTCTGATTGTGCTGATAATGACCTAAGTCATGAAAGTAGGTCTATGGCAAAGGGCAAAATTTATCCTTTGGGAATCAGCTTTTTAAAAAAGTCAAATTTTATATAAATTATTTTAGACTGGGCTTCTTGTCTGTGTCTTTGTTCAAATTTAGTTGGCTGGGTCTCTTACCTCCTTGCTTTACCTTACCATAAATTCAAGATCTGCCTTAGCAGGTGGCTTGAGTGAAATCATTGGCTGTATATTTCAGAGCTATCTCACTCTCAACCATGTATTAGATTTATCCACAGGATTCCTGCATCAGGCTGAGAGAGGAAAGGGGTTCTGAAGAAGAGACAGGCTCTCATGTTTTTGCTGCAGAGTTAGACACCATCTATCTGAAAATGGAATCTGTGGTAAAAATCTCCAAATTACTTGTAATCATTTTCTTTAGATCAACTCCCAAGACTCATTCTTTGGGAACCAATTAATAATATGATAGACATAACTTGATTTATTCTACTTCTACTAATTCTCTTGACCCAAAGCAAATCAACAAATCTGTCCCTGACATAATATCATTTTACGCTCTCTTTACTCATAGCACACAATAGAATTAACTAACTTTATAAATAAATATTACCCATTATTGAAACCTGAGAGACTTACAGGGAATTATCAGTTGGCCAAGGGGGTAAGGTATCTAGCTTCTGAAGAAATCATAACTGATCTGCTCCTAATTGTCCCAACATTTTGCTGTCTCATCTCTGTCCTTCATTGTTTACACTTCTACCTGGGGGTATGATGGGAAAGATGAAAAAGTAAAATTTAGTCAGATAACTGGTTATATTATCAAACTTGAGTATGGGAGAAGTCCTGAAATTTTTGGATGAAATAAGCTTTCACATAGTCTTTGGGTTTCACTAATCCAGTGGTTCTCAGACTTTGGCATGTATCAGTATCCCCTGGGTGGCTAGTTAGAACAAAGGTTGCAAGTTTGACTCAGTAAGTTTTGCATTAGGCCTGAGAAATTGCATTTCTAACAGGTTCCAGGTGATCCTGATGCTGCTAGCTAAGGGATGGTACTTTGAGAACTACAGCACTAATCCATGCTGGCTTCTGTCCTGTTAAGATGAATAGTCTAGAATTTGCATTTCTTTAGCTAGCTTTAGGAATTTAGACTGCATAAACTAATCATTATGGGTTAAGCAGTTATTTTGGTATATGTGCATCATGTACAGTATAATAGAAGTGGTAAATTAAATTAGGTGGGTTACTCTATCCATTTGGTTGAGCTCATTCACAATGAATCAAATCCACAGATATCTTTGCTTCTATTATTGTAGGGTCAATGTAATACTGACTTTTAATTTTTTTTTTTAATGGTAAAGTCTCAATTCTATGGTATTGCAAGGGACTTATACATATAAAGCATCTTCCATCATCTTCCCCCATGACCAGACTTTATGAGCTTTTTTTCATGATTGAGCTCATTTGATTCTCATAAACATTTTTTTTTTAACCTGGCACAACATTTAGCTTTAATGAGGGATATAGAACAAAGAACAGCCAGAGTAATGGCATCACAGAGGTGTTAAATGCAACCTCTGCTGACTCCAGTCACTATATGGGACACATTTCAATCAGAAGAAGTGATATGAGGCTAGAGTGAATGCCAGGGACATTACACGGGGGAGCCACAGGCTTTAGTCTCTCTCAGCTTAAACACTTTCCTAACAACCTAGCCCCCAGAAGGTTGTGTACCTTGTTTTCAATCTTCAGTGCAACTCCAGTCTGTGAATTACAAGTCAGACAATAAACAATCTCAACAACTAGGAACAGAATACTTAGGAACCTCCTTGGTTCCTTCATTTAACTGTAATTGATACAGTTCTTTAGTTGATACTAAAAGACATTTGATGAAAGATCAAACTATGCTCAAGCATCCCTGAGGCTAGAGTAAGACTGACAGTATACCTGTTAAATCTTTCAGCCAGGATTCTCCATGTGATCTACTGAAAGAGAGTCCAAAAAATGCAGTTTTGAGCTTTTCTAGTATCTGTGGTCCAGGCAGTGAAGCATGAAGAAGGTTTAAACAGATATTGAGTGGCCTAGGGTACAATATGCATCACACTAAGTAGGTAAAAGCAGAAAATAGGAAACCTAAGAAATCCCTGACCTGAGAGTCTGGTGATGGGCCTTTAGACCTATTCTCAATTTGTGACTTGTCACAGAATTTTATAAAGTTATACTTCCCAACAGGGTGGCATGATAAACCAGGAGAAGACTCTTTACGGACTTCAACACTTAAGCTGTATAAACATGTGCAAGTTACTGGAGCACTGCATGTACCAGCTCTTTCATCATAAAATGGCAATGACAGTAATGCCTACTTCATAGAGTAATTGTGATAGTCAAATGAGGAAATATTTTAAAAGTTCTTAGAATAGGGTTTGGCACATAATTAAGTACTCAATATTTCATTAAAACATGGATATGAGACCCTCACTGAATGCTCTCTAACCTAAAAGATCTGACACACAGATATTTTAATTTGAAGTATATTCAAGACCTGGGAATAGTTAAGTGAATACTCCAATCTCAATAAACACCCATGCTAGAGCACCCGTGGGTTGTTGCTCTGCATAGCTGCTCACATTCCTCACCAATCCTGAGCTTGGAATGAAGAAGTAGTATATAGATAGAATGATATTTCTAATGGTAGGGCTAGAACATTGAGATGCAACTCCTTATAACTTTTTATTCTTCAGTGCCTGCCAAATGCTTTTCAAACATTTGAGTAATTGTCACCATGACTAATTAGCCTAATGTAATAATATGAGGAGTTTCACTTTGGAAAACTTTTGTTAACCTGGAATTCTCACATACTAAAAAGAGGGCTTTGTCTTTAGTGGTTTTGAGATTTTAGAAAGCTATACATTCTAGAGCAATTTTTTTTTTTCTTTTTACTTTGGGACTAAGGATAGAAGACAGTTGACTGATTTATAGCCTGTTTACTTTACCTTGTGATACTTTGCTCCTTTTTTGCAATAATGTTTATTTGCACAAGCAAAACATTTTAACTGTGAAATTGCACCACCGTCTTGTGAATTTTGGACCTTGATTAACCCAGGTGTATCTTATTCTTCTCCTACTTTAGCTGGACAGTGCCACATCGCTTATACAGGCAGCTAAAAACCTGATGAATGCTGTTGTCCTCACGGTGAAAGCATCTTATGTGGCCTCAACCAAATACCAGAAGGTCTATGGGACAGCAGCTGTCAACTCCCCTGTTGTGTCTTGGAAGATGAAGGCTCCAGAGAAGAAGCCCCTTGTGAAAAGAGAAAAACCTGAAGAATTCCAGACACGAGTAAGACGAGGGTCTCAGAAGAAACACATTTCACCTGTACAGGCTTTAAGTGAATTCAAAGCCATGGATTCCTTCTAGGACGATAGGCTTTAACAAGAAAGTTTTTTCTTTCTTTTTTTCCCCCTTTCTTTTTCTTTCTAATTCCATTTTTGTATGCATACCTGCTGACCCGTATGCCTCTGGCATGGGGGAAATTAAGGGAGCGGTGTCTGTTTGCATGTGAGATGAGATGTGATCCATACTACTGATCCATCTGTAGCCCAGGGAGGGGACAGGGAATTCCTGTCCTGAGGTGGCACAGAGCTGTCCTTTGCAACATTCTCATAAAGTTGGGCAAAGAGTTCGCATTGCAATGTTTAAGGGAGCGGGAGGGATGGGGAAAATAAACTTAACTCTTCAAAAGCAAACTCTAATGCATGCAAGAATCATTAGGTTGGCAGGTATACTCATAAATGAAAAATCTGGAAGTGTAATGGTAGAACTAAAACTTGTATTGCTTCTGTTTCAGTGCAAAAAATGTACTAGCCAATACGCTTAAGTGTGTGGCCCACAAACTGAACAATATTGGAGTCATATCCATGATATTATGTGGATTTTAACTGAGGGGAAACTAGTCCAGCCTACAATGCTTCTTTTAATCTGTGTTCTGTTCTTTCTCTTCTAGTAGAGCCATTACTAGTGCTCATGTTATCATTTTCCCCCCTTTACTGAAAACAATGAAGATTTGAGACATTAAATCTTTCTGGGAGCACTGGAAACACAATGTGGTGATCGATTTTGCTTTCTTTCTTTTTTTTTTTTTTAATTTGAACTATGATTTTGCTAGAAATAGAAGGCCCAGTGGTGAATGTTATTAAATCTTTCTGGGAGCACTGGAAACACAATGTGGTGATCGATTTTGCTTTCTTTCTTTTTTTTTTTTTAATTTGAACTATGATTTTGCTAGAAATAGAAGGCCCAGTGGTGAATGTTAGAGGAATGGAAACTGACAACGTGTGAAGGTTTAGAGGCAAATCCATAGGTGTAGCTTGGAGTGCTGGTATCTAATATACCATTGTATCCACTAACTAACTCAAAATAAACACATTTAATCTTGACGTCTGAAGAATGTTTTCTTTGAATGCATACTTAATAAAAGATTACAGCATCTTAAAAATTGATTAAAAATGCTTTTGGTTTGCTCTTAGAAAGTAGGTAATATCCAAATAATTCACTCAATCATCTTTAGATTCTAGAAATTTATTTTGTAGTTTTTTGTTTTTTTGTTTTTTTTTTTACATTCAAACTGAATCTAAAATGAGAAAGTATTGTATTAGACTTTTCTGGGCCATGCCCAACCCTGGGCTAAACTTGAGAAACTTAATCCAATATTTTTAATAGATAAGCCCTTTAATTTCAAAATACTTATTTTTAATTTTTTTCTCTAAATTGTACAAATGGGGCCTCTGTTCCATTACTACGGAGGAATGGCTGTAGTCTTTCAGCTATGGACTAAGGAGTGAAAAACTTCCATTCTCCTAAGTGTCTGAGACTCCTCCCATTGGATTGATTTGTATAAGTCATCACATTACTGTATGTCTCCAGAAGACGTCTGGTAAAATATGCATGTGTTTCTTAGCAATACGATAATGCAATGAAAGCCACAAACACCTAGTGTAAAGCTACACGACTTTGCCAGTTGGGTTGAGGCAATAGCTATGCCAATTGTATGGCTAGGCATTTCATAACTAAAGCCAAAATGTTTCGTTACTTCAGTTACACTAAGTTTTCCATTTGTATTGGCAGGGCTATTGTCTGACTCACCCTTCAAATCTGTTGTTCGGACTGGGTCACAGACCCCTCACATACAGGTTCACACTAGGTAATTCCGAAAGATCCCAGGAGCCTTTGGCAGATGACACGAGCTGTCTGCCGCAGAAGCAGTGGTGGCGGTGACCTCTTGGGGCATCCCGGGGTGCTTGCACCAACAGCCTCCAGCAGCAGTAGTGATCTCCCCGTGACCCCTACCCCCAGTGGGGCATGTGGATCAGAGCTACTTGGCCTTTATACTTAAGTCCATAACCCAGGACACCTGGGCGCTCATGCGCAGTTACATTAGACAATAACCAAGGAACACCTGGGCACACGTGCATAGTTACATCAAATGCTTGGCAATATTCTGAACATCTGAGGGACCCTGACCATTTTCCTTCACTCTCCCTACACCTTGGCTCATGTTAGCTTAGGTGGAAGGTCCCAAGAGAAGGAAGAGATGAGGGAGTTGTGGAAGAAGAGAAAGCTTAGTCCAAAATCTTATTTAGAAATGGTTCTGCTCACACCACGCAACCACCATCAAGACTGAGACTTTTCTATTAATGGAGGTGCTACCATAAAAGCTGTAGACTGATTTTCAAGGACAATCATTAGATCCCTGATAAGTAGCCTTCCCCCTTAATTTGCATAAATACTAAAAGGGGTACTACTGACATTCACAAACATTTAAGAATGCCTTCTTTGAGCCAGCTCCTAGGCTGAGCACACCATTCACTAAACTCATGGGAGACTCTCCCTGTTAGAACATGAATATGGCACAGTAGCAACTTGAATGCCACTTTTGCTCACTGATCTGAGAACAAAGGCAATGTGTTTTTAGCAGCATATTTTCAATTCTGAGAAACTTGAACTTCTCCCAAACAGCAGTAAAAATACCTTTCTGCCAAGCTATTCACTGAAATAGCCACTCATTCTGCTTTTTTTCTCCCTGATAGACTCTAAAAACTGGGGAGATCCTTTCTTCACTTCCCATTTTCCACAGAGATAGTAAGGGGTTAAAGTCAGGAAAGTAAAATATATCAACCTAATGATGGTCCTGTGCAAAGAGTCAACACAATGCTATTCATAAGTCCCCAAAGGAAACATAATTAGCACAATTAACTGTCTGGGTTCATACATTATTCTATTATTTAATGAGTCAAAGGAAGTAAGTATTCGTTAGACCAGCCAAGAAACTTAAAATTCGAAAGCTTCTTGGCAAGTCCTAAAAAGTAGCCAACAGGCACCAGAAGCATGTGCCCTTGACTTTGACCCAGAACATTTTAGTTAAATGTTTTAATACATGCTTATGGACAATGTTTATGCGTGTGTTTTCTGGAAAACAGTCCTTGATTTGCTTAGTCCTTGATTTCAGTGCTTGCTTAATAAACGTCGCTATCTTTTCTACCACTGCTTTTGTGATCGAGGGGAACAATAACTATCCAGAAAGGTAATTAAATATAAACACTTTGCTAGGAACACTACAGCAATAAAAAAGACAGTGAATTTCCTATCCTCGAGAAATATACAGTCTATCTGGAAACATATTTCATAGGCAGAAAAGAGATAAGTAAACATGCTGAGAAATCATGCACGAAGTGCCAAGTGAATAAGGTAGAGAAATAACTACTGTGTGGAACCTAGGAATTCAGAACCCATTGAAGACTAAAATATTTGGGTAAGGATTAATGGAAGAAATAAGATTTGGAAATTAGCAAATAATATTCTGGATGAATGAAAGGCATAAATGAATAAATTTGGTATGAGGGATGACTGGGGTAAGCATTCAAGGAAAAGAGAACAGCATCTTTAAGGTCTGAAAACAAATGCAGTCACAAGGAACATGGGATTCAATGAAGGGGACTAGTAAGAAATAAATGTGAAGATGTAATATGAGGCTAAGCTATGGAGATCATGAAGTAATGTGACCATCATCCAGTAGGTAATGTGGAGTTTCTAAATGGCATGATGACTCAGACAAAGAAGTGCCTCCATAAGATGAAACTGATAATGTGTGGGGAGGTAAGGACTGAAAGGGGCTGATGTTAGTTTGAAGTTGCATATGTGACAGAAAGAATGAATTACAGTGGCTTCTTGAATTAGTAGACATAGGGCAAGATAATGATTAAAGTATATTTCTTCAGGGAGATTAGAGAGTCAGAAAACTGAGGAATATCTAAAAAGTAATATATTAAGATGGGATAGAATGGTGTGTTTGAGGGCTGGCCCCGTGGCTCCCTGAGGAGATTGTGGTGCTGGTGGCACCAAGGCCACAAGTTCTGATCCCATATGGGGATGGCTGGTGTGCTCACTGGCTGAGCGTGGTGCGAACTACACTGTGCTGAGGGTTGTGGTCCCCTTACCGGTCAAGAAGAAAAAGAAAAAAAAGAATGGTGTGTTTGAGAAGATACACACTAGATAACTGATTCCAAGTAAATGGAGTTAATTGGGGTGTTTTCTAAAGAAGTAGAATTTTTTAATGCAGAAGGATGGCTATTCCTGATGGCAGGAAACCAAAAAAATCTCAATTTCCTTTGTTCCAATGTTCTAGGATTGATGATTCAAAAGACAAGATCTTTATATTCTTCTAAAGCCCCAAATATTCAGAAACGCATAGGTTATCTACAGAAGATCTATAGTTTTTCCTCATTAACTGTTGAAGAATATGAAATTGATTTTAATTTTAGAAGTTGACTCTGTAACCAATTGGTTGTGGTTTAGCCCATAGAGAAATAGGCTGCAAGTGTCAGCATGATGCTCATCCATTTCTGAGCATGATTTACATGTAGGGCACCTTTTCGACACTTGAGGTATAAAGATCTATAAAATAACATGTACAGCAGAATCCCTAAGCAAAAAAATAAAAATAAAAAGTCATTCAAAAATATTGAAATTTGGTTTAATCTATTTCCTAAAATTGCTGGTAATAAGTCATAAGTTATTTGATTTCTATTGCTCTGTCATGACATACTAACCAAATCAGAGATAGCAGTGTTTACTCTTTACTTGAAGATTGTGTCATCTTTTAGAGGTGAGAGGGACTAAATTAACTATAGAAGGCTGTTAATAAAAAAAAAAAAATACTAGAACAGAGGAGTGACATTAGAAAGGTAGTGGACTTCTAAGCTCCAGGTCCTTGTTCCCTCATGGAAACACAAAGTAAACAGTAAAATATTGACCACAGCACCTTAATGGGAACTTTAGAAACAGTTAAGGATTTACAGCAAACAAAGTACACCCAACAAAGAAAAAGCCACATTCAGTGTGGTAGAGAATTTCAGGGCACTTTTTCTCACATATGCCCTACTCCTTCCCTGGCACAGCATGGTCATTAGGAAAACCACTCAATTCCTTGTTTCTTCCTTAAAATGGAAGAAAAGAATAGAACTTGTTTGCAATGTTCTACCCTGTCTGGTGGCAACCTAGGGGAATAGTTTCTGTTTCACTTAACTCAGAGAGCTGATGGAAATGGTGGTATAGTTTGAAAATCAGGTTGGAAGCCACAAAGCAGAAGTAGGCACTGAAGCATTTAAAACATTTAAAGCTTGAAGTTAAAGCTGCAAAGGAAGTGGGGAGGGAAGGAGAAGAGGTAGATTAACAGGTACAGAGTTACAGGTAGATAGACTGAATAATTTCTAGTGCTCTAGGATGTCTAGGAATAATTATATTGTGTATTTCTAAATAGCTAAAAAAGAGGATCTTCACTGTAATGACCACACACACACACACGCACACACACACACACACACACACAAGATACATATTTAGGTGATGGAAATGCTATCTACCCTAAGTGAACCATTGTATAATATCTGTATGTATTAAAACAACACACTGTATCTAACAAATATATACAATTAAAATAATTAAAAAAACAAAAACTAAGGAACTTCAGACCTATGGGATCCTAGGGGCAAGAGATTATGGGCAGAGAAATGTAATAGAACAGTTAAGGCCTTAACAAGAAGCATGGGTGAGACTCTGGGGAAAAGAAGACATTTAAAAGTAGTTTTGTATATGTGAAACTTGGGAGAGAAAGGACACACAGAAGGCCAGGAAACATGCATGTTTACAAGTGGCCTGAAAAGACCATAAGTCTTCTCAATTGACTGATTAGTGAAGATCTTCTGCACAAGCTAGTTCAAAAACTGGCAGAGGTTGCTGTATTTTCAAATGCCCAAGTATATACTATTTACAGGAGACTCACTTTAGATCTAAGGAAATGCAAAAGATTTAAAGTAAATGGATGGAAAAGATATCCCTGAAAATAGTAACCCAAAGGAAAAAGGGCTAGCTATACTAATATTAGACAAAATAGACTTTAGGTCTAAACTGTAACAAGAGATGAAGAAGGACA